TGTTACTTCTTGCCCTTTTTTCATGATGATAAATTTTATTCCCCCATGCTTGAAGATAGTATACCTGGGACTCCAGGCATGCTCTTTCTCTCTGTCTTTCTTGTCTCTCTTATTTTGCACTTGGTCTGTGCCTCTCCAGAATCTCAGGGAACTCTGGAAGGAGAATGGGAACTGCTGGGAAATCCTCTTGGGTAAGGTTAGGAAATTCCAAGGGCCTCTCTAGCCAAAGCAGCCCCTTGCCTTTATGGTTCCAGGTCAGCCAGGAGAGCCCGAAGCTGCCCTAAGTGATAAGACCGCATGGAATTTATCCCCTCCTGGGAGGCCTGGCACAGGTAAGAGCTCTTGTTGGTTGGCTGTATCCTGCTCTGCCCCAGGCCAGCACATTAAGACCTTTCTCACTTACCTTGGTTTGTTCTTCTGAACTCAGATTTTCATTTTGTGACCCATAGGTTTGGGATCTCTTGAAGGCAAAGATTCTTAGAAGCATGTGTGATTTAGTTATTTCAGAAAAATTTCCAATTTAAACCAGCTTAATGAAGGATAGCACTTAATTAGCTTGGAGTGGACAAAGAAATTAGGAAAATATTTATGAAGGACCATTCTCATTTCTACTCACCCTACGGTTCTTTGCTTTCTTTTCATATGTGGGAACATTGCCCAGAATATTGGGATCAGAGAAGAAATATATAAAGGCAGACTCTGAATTTTTCTCCATCTGTGAAAGATTCCTCCAAATAGAAAAATACAATACTACATAGACATGAAACAAGAGCAAGAATTAGTAAAACCTAAGAGCTGCAAGAGATCATCTTGTTCAGGCCACTCTTCAGGGAGCTGATTCAACCTAGCAAAGCATTATTAAGTATCTGAGTGCTAAGGATACATGAGTGGATAAAAGATAGGGATCCTTGCCCTAACTGATCTCACATGTTAGCAGTATGCTAGCAGTGTGTTAACATACTAGGAGACACATAGTAAGCAAGCTGTATGGAGAAGGTGAAAAATGCCATGGGGGAAATGCAGAGCAGGGTACAAGGAATAGGGAAGGTGACAGAATTGCTTTAAATAGGGAGTTAGGCCTCACTGAGGGGATGCTATTTCAGTAAAGACTAAATCAGTAGAGCACATGGAAGCTCTCTAGAAAAGACCCTTTTGGGTTCATTACTTCGTCTTGATTGGCCATTGGAGATTGATTCAACCTCAAGCCCCTCTCCTTTCCCCAGAAATCAGGACTCAAAGTTCCAGTTCTCTAATCACATGGTTGGCTCCTACTGGCAACTAGGTCCCACCGTTGGGTGAGATCCAAAAGTCACCTCATTTACTTAACAAGAGACACCATTGTTAACTCTCATCATTTAAGAAAGTCTTTGGGATTTGGGAGCTCTGTGCCAGGAACGGGGAGGAAGGCCAAATCTATATTTCTTATTATAAATCACAATATCACAGTATTCTAGCTGTGGTTCCATTTTTATGGTATAGTGGAAAGTAGATGTTTATACATTTAACACATACATGGTGAGGCAAAAGTAGGTTTACAGCTGTTCCTATGGGGAAAAAGGAAAATAATACAATAATTAGTAAATAATAATACCAGAGTAACCTCTGTGTTTTGAGTACTCACAACTGTAAACCTTCTTTTGCCCTGCCCTGTATTTACTGCATGCCTACTGTGTGTCAGGCGTTGTGCCAGCCCACAGTGATTGGTGAGGCTCTCAGGGAGCTCCAAGTGTAGAACTGTACTATCTACTACTTAGCCACCAGCTACATGGCGTCCTGAGCACTTGAAATGTGGCTGGTCCAAACTGAGAGCTGCTGTTTGTGGAGAATATGTAACCAGACAACCAATGGATCTGCGCTGCCTGTCACTGCTTGAGCCAATTAAGCAGAGACAGAGTTGAATCATGTATGAGTGTTTATTCCATTCATGCTGGAAGTATGGGAAAGCAGCAAGTCATCCACAAAAATCTGCTCTGCAACCCCCCATAAGCCAGCTGCTTATATTGAACTAGAGACCCGGTGCACAAAAATTTGTGCACTGCGGGGGAGGGTCCCTCAGCCCGGCCTGCGCCCATTCACAGTCCAGGACCTCTTGGGGGATGTCCACCTGTCAACTTAGGCCCACTCCCCGGGGGATCAGGCCTAAGCTTGCAGTCATACATCCTTATGGCAGCCAAGGAGCCCTCGGGGGATGTCCGACTAAAGGCTTAGGCTCCAAGGGATCAGGTCTAAACTGTTAGTTGGATATTCTTAGTGCTGCCACGACATGGGAGAGGCTCCTGCCACCACCACTGCACTGGCCAGCCAAGAGCCAGCTTCTGGCTGAGTGGCACTCCCCATATGGAAGTGCACTGACCACCAGGGGGCAGCTCCTGCATTGAGCATCTGCCCCCTGGTGGCCAGTGCGCATCATAGCAACCGGTCATTCTGCCTTTCAGTCAATTTGCATATTAGCCTTTTATTGTTATTACTAGAGGTCCAGTGCACGAATTCATGCATGGGTGGGGTCTGGCCCTGATTGGGGCCAATCAGTACGTGCCAGCTTGGGGAGGGAATGCTGGAGGTTGGCCTGCCAGCCCCACCCCCAATGAGGGTGGGGGACCAATCTCAGGGCTGGTTGGGGGGGCTGTGGGAGGTTGGCCAGCTGGCCCCACCCCCTAGTTGAATTCCCAGTCCAACATCTGGTCGAAGGGACAATTTGCATATTAGCCTTTTATTATATAGGATACTAGGGGCCCGGTGCATGAAATTCGTGCACTGGGTGAGGGGGGGAGTGTCCCTCAGCCCGGCTAATGCTTTATCCACTGAGCAAAACAGGCTGCAGCTTAATTCATTTACTTTTCATCTATATGTGTCTTTATATTTAAAGTGGGTTTTGTTTTTGATTCACCCTCATAATCTGTCTTTTAATTAGTGCATTTATGCCACTGACTTTCAGAGTGCTACTGATAGAGTTACTACTATATCAGGCGGCTTCTGGGGCTTCAGCCCTGGATGGCGGCGCGCTGGCGGCTCGCGCTGTCCCGCCCTGCTTGCAGTATGCAAATTAGCTGCCATATTTGTTGTTGGTTCATTTGCATATCACACTGATTAGCCAATGGGAGGCGTAGAGAAGGTACGGTCAGTTACCATGTTTGTCTATTATTAGATAGGCTCGGACAAAGATTACATGGGGAAGTAGGCAATGTGGACTGAGGCGGGACTCCATTGTTTGGGCAACAAGGATGTTAATCTTTCCACTATAATAGGCAGTACTTAAATGAGAATGAACTGCATTCTAAGATTGACTCCCAGGTTCAAGGTTGACTGCTAGGTCTAAGGTTGACTCCCAGATCCCTGGGGCCTACAATTCCCAGCCTGGTTAGAAGGTCCTTTCTTTAACCAGAACAAGGCAATTGCGGTTAACAGAGCATGATTAATATTTCTTATAACTATAACTAATCCCCAATATTCTATTTTTGCCCCTAACAAATATATACCAGATTTTGAGAGAAAAGTAAAATTACTCATTAATAATTTTTTACATTGGTTACTTGTTGAAATGAGATTTTAGGTATATTGGGTTAAATAAAACATTAAAAGTAGCTTACCAGTTTCTTTTTACTTTAATATAGTCACTAGAAATTTTAAAATTATACCTGTGGCTGGCATGATATTTCTGTTGGAGTGCTAATCTAAAAGGAGAAACTTAAAAACTGCCTATAGTTTAAATGGGTATGAAGTAGTATCTCATTGTGGTTTTCATTTTAATTTCTTTGATGGCTAATGAAATGGAGCATCTTTTCATATGCTTATTGCTGTTTTTATATCTTCTTTGGAGAGATATCTATTCAAGTCCTTTGCACATTTTTAATTGGCTTATTTATCATTTTATTGAGTTGTAAGAGTTTTTTATATATTCTGGGTACTAGAATATATGAAGTATTTTATAAATGATTTAAGTGATTTGCGATTTGCAAATAATTTCTCATTCTTTAGGTGTTTTCACTTCTTTGATGATATCCTTTGCTGTACAAAGTTTTAATGAAATCCAGTTTGTCTGTTTCTTCTTTGTTGCTTGTGGTTTTAGTGTCATATCTAAGTAGAAACCCCTGCTTATTTCAAGGTCACCAAATTGACGCCTGAGTTTTCTTCTAGGAGTTTTATAGTTCTAACTCTTATATTTAGGTCTCTGATCCATTTTTTATTAATTTTTGTAAATGATGTGAGACAAGGACCCAACTTCATTCTTTTGCATGTGGCTAGCAGCTAGCCAGTTGTCCCAGCACCATTTGTTGGAAAGACTATCCTTTCCCTGTTGAATTATATCAGCACTATTGTCTGCTGTACTTAATTTTAACATATCACTGACAACTCGGTGATTTCAGTGTCAGCATGTGTTAGTTTTAGTTTACCTGCTTAGTCCTCAGTGAAATGTTTTGAGTTGTCAGAAGAAATCATGTTGAGCTTGAAATATCTGTATTAATGTTGTTTTAAAATTCATGATATCATTTGGTTTATGTTGCATTGGGTACCGATTTAATGTCATAATTTTCCTGGATGAAATAAAAAGTGAACTATACTGAACAGTGATTTCATTTTATAATCATTATTTTGTGGTAATATTTAATCATATTCTGGTAAGGGCTTTGGAAGGTGGTAGTTTTCAGGTCGATTGTATTGAAGTCTTGCAGGATGCTGTTATTGACACTCTCTGGCTCCCAGGTTTGCTCCTCTGTGCTGCAGAGCACCCCTCTTCTCTCCATGGCTAAAGAAAGCAGAAAACGTTCACTCTGTGCTCAGCTAGACATAGCCTCCATTTCATTTCCCTCTTAGATCAGGGTCTAAGCAAAGCTTTTTTGTAGACGAACACTTCCTATACTTCCAAACAGTGATCAGAGCAACAGCTGCACACTCCTCCAGTGCCATTCTTAAAACCTGTGTCTGTCCCTGGGTACAGAGTAGTCAGGTGCTGGGCAGTAAAAGCTTTTTCTCCCCACTGTGGAAACTCTCATTCTGTAGGTTTCCATAAGGAAATGTTCAATGTGCACCAAACTCCAAGAGAGTATTTAAGAAATTAATGTAAAAGGCCATGGTGTTGAGAATGACCTTTCTTTATATATCTTTATAATGGAATTTTCTCTAGTGAAGAATGTCATGAGCACGGTTTCATTGTCAGGCAGTAGGTCACCATCTTTCTCATGTCAGCCCTACTTAGGCTATTCCTATCCTGGTCTCCTTCTTGCCTCCAGTCTTGTTTTGGTGCAATCACTGACCTTTTCAGTGGGGTATTCTTCATCTTTGTTATCCTCAAGGAGCTTGAGTTTTGGTGACACAGCCGAAGACTGAACAAAGAATTTTTTTTTTTTCCTTCCAACTAACCAAGAACTCCTAGCTATCTTGACAACTGGCTAGTCAATTGTTTCATTTCACATACTGGAATAGTGTTTCTAGCTAATGTATCAGACCCACTTTTTTCTAGCTTTGGAAAAATTTTAAAAATTAAAACAAACTGCCTATTGTTTGTATTAACTCTTCACTAAGTATCTACTAGCAAATCCTGAAGTTCTCATAAAATCTAATGCATCAAAAGAAAGGCTGAGAAGTGCATATGACTTGCCAAGAGCCTTACTGGACAGAGGCTGGTTTAGAAGTAATGATGGATCCACCGCTCGCCCCCTTTTTTTTCTTACTGTGTTCCTGCCAGGTAATGATGACTCGGACATTGACATCCAGGAGGATGATGAATCTGACAGTGAACTGGAAGAGAGACGGCTGTCCAAGCCACGGACAGCCATGGAGGTGCTCATGCAAGGTACCAGGGCTTCTTTCCCTTGCCCTCCTCCCTGTGCCTGTCATAGAACACCACGGCCAGCACTGGGTCAGGGCTGCTGGTAGTAAGGCCCATAAGCACACTGTGAGTGGCCCTGCTCTAGGTCTTTTCCGCCCTGTTGTTTATCAGGATTTGGCTCTTAAACTGCTCAACGGTCATCTTTATCACTAATGCTCTTATCTGGAGTCCTAAGAATGGCCAGTTCCTATTTGTGGCTGGTGTTTCTCACAGAGTTTACAGGAGCACACTGCCTCTGCCACTGAGCTATATTCTGCCCCTTTTGAGTCCAAACGTTCTCAGTGCAGTTGATACCTTATAGTCAGATAATGGACAAAGAAGGGACTTACAGAAACATCTCTGCCATTTAAAAATGTTCTTCTAATTTCTACTTTCTCACTGTAACAGATTCAAGCAATAAAATGTGTGGAGCAAATCTGGGTGAGAGGTCTTCCTCATGTTTCACTCCCCACCTGAGGCCAGGGTGTGTCCTTCCAAATTGCCTTCACACACACACACTGAAACATGGACACGAAGATCATCTGAAAGGTTTTTTAATCGGAGTGAGACCAGACTATGTGTATGGTTCTGCAATATGCTTTAACCCCTTCCCCAACAATTTTTTTGTTAAAAACGTGTCGTTTTCAGACTAATTTTTTTATTTTGGTTCTATATAGTATTTTTGATGCTGGTTATGAAAACAGTTTGTAACTCGTCTTCCTATAAACCATATTTTTTTACCATATTTTCTTAGTATACTCGTCGACAACTGAAAAAGAACATTTTGTGAAAACGAGTATACACGTTTCTGCCGGGGAAGGGGTTAAAAAAATTTAAATATATTGAACTCTTCTCATGTCAGTAAAATATAGATCTCCTTCTTTCTTTTTGATAGCTGCATATTAGTCTATAGTATGACTGTACCTGTAATTTACTTGGGCATTCCCATGTTGATAGATACTTAAGTATCTATCAGTACTTAAGATACTCTTTTCTCTATAGATTTTTCCGCACATCTGCAAGTGTTTCTTTAGGCTATGTCATTTAAAGTGGAATTCTAAGGTCAAACGTTATGTAAATTAAATTCTGATAGATACTACTAAATTGCCCTATATTTGCCTTTAAAAACATTTCTTATCTACCACTTATTAATTTTTGGAGCACAATTGCATTTTTATATACATAATAAATTTAAATGGTAAATGATCTTCCATTTGTCATTTCATATTAACTTTTGTTGTTAACTGTTTTCTCTTATTTTAGGTCCACCTATCTTTACTTATTACATTTTGCTTTGTTCATAGGATAGTCAGGTGCTCTGATTTTTTTTATCTTTAATTTTTTGACAGCTTTATGACATCAGTAGAGGTTAGAGGTTATGACTCCTATTTTACCATATGGGAGCCAGGGCTCTAAAATGGTATGTGATTAGTTCAGCAGAACCTAGTAAAGGCACCGGTGCTCCTAAATTCTACTTCTGACAATTCACTGCAGAAGTGAAACAACACAAGATCTGCATTTTACCTGACCCAAGGAACAGTATCTATAACAGCTCCTGGTGGTCACTCCAGGCCTGCCCTGAGTGAACTCCCCTCTGAGCTGCCCTCACTGCCTTTCTCCGGAGGCCTGGACCTGCGGTCATGGGTGTTCGTTTCTCAGCCTTCAGGTATGAGAGCAGCTCTCTGTCTCCACCCGGTGAAGGATGCCTCTGAGTCTGCATAATCACATCTAGACTTCCACAGGAGGAACGGAGAACCACTCAAATAATGATGATGTGTTCAAAGATGAACTTTTTAAAAAATATGTATTTTTATGATTTTAGAGAGGGAGAGGGAGAGAGTTAGAAACTCTCAATGATAAGAATCATTGATCGGCTGCCTCCCTAAATCACTTTAGGGAGAGTGATTTTCCCCTAAAACATTTACAGAATGCATCTTTATTTTTCTGATTTATGATTCATGCTTACATTTCACTGCCCTTTTCTTTGTTTTAATGTGGAAATGCAGAAAATCCGTTACCATTTGTCGGCGGTTCTGATTAGTTGGGATGCTACTTAAGTGTTTTAATTTAATTTAATTCTTCTTTTTCCCAATGTTCTAAAGCTGTGGTTGGCAAACCGCAGCTTGCGAGCCACATGCGGCTCTTTGGCCCCTTGCGTATGTCTCTTCCACAAAATACCACATGCGGGCGTGCACATACAGTGCGATTGAAACTTCGTGGCCCGTGCGCAGAAGTTGGTATTTTGTGGAAGAGCCGGTATTTTGAGGAAGGCAAATCTTAAATGCTATTTTATGCCTTATTTTACAAGGTTTTTGCAATTTCTTCATGCTTTTATTCTCCCCAGGAAGACCTAGCAAACACATCGTGGGCACAATGCAAGGTGGAGACTCCGATGATGATGTGAGTCCCGACCAGGCCCCGTTAGCAGTTGTATTCTTTCTACGCTTGGGCTGGCCCCGTGACTGCATTAGCCAGGAAGTAAGCATGTTTGATCAGCTTAGCGTGAGGTGTGGTTTCTCAGCCCGCATCACTGGATTTGTGGCAGTTTGTTGGCTCATTTCTTTTCAAATGAACCTGCTTCCCCTACTTTTTTTCCCCTCTCATGTTCTGTCTGCTCTCACTTTCCAAAGATGGAAGGAGCACCAGCTCTGTTAGGTAAATGCGAGACTTCCAGCTCCAAGAAGCAGGTTGGTTTTCTTTTTCACCCCATCCATCCGTGTGTGTGTGTGTGTGTGTGTGTGTGTGTGTGTATCTGTGTATCTGCTTGTTCAGAACCAGCAGAGAGCCTTCCCCAAGAATGATGCTTCTGTATCCTGGGCAAAAAGCCACTCAAAATGGATCCCACAGTGAATGGCGAAGTTACCTAGAGGTGCCTATTCTAAGAAGGAGGAGTAAGTGCTGAGCCAAGGCCAAGAAAGGTTGTGGGTTTGGGAGTTATCTGGCGCTTGAACCATAACCTAGAAAGGAAGGGATGCTGCTTAGAGCCTGGAGTCGACCAACCCTCTCTTCAGCTCCTTTCTGGGGAGAGAACATGATAAGGAGGCTCTCCTGAGACCAGGGCCTCTGAGAGGCCGGGCAAGGAGCTGCAGCACCTTCATCATTATTAAGTGGATAACTGACTGGGAAATGAACCAGAATGGGGAAACAAGGGGTCCCTGCTGGGGCCCAGCTGTTGGCTCTTCCATTCGTCATTCTGGGCCTGCCTTTGTTGCAGTCCCTGGCAAGACTGTCAATCCCAAGTGGTAAAGGGTGGCTAGATTGACACCAATCACAGATCTCCCCATCAGGTTGATATCACATGTGTCTAGAATGTGGCACTAGTAGCTACACAGAGACAAAGCATGAGTCTTAGGTTCTTTTTTTTATTGATTGGCTGCCTCCCGCACGCCCCCCCCCTTCACCCCCTACGGGGGATCAAGCCCGCAACTCAGGCATGTGCCATTGACTGGAATTGAACCTGGGAGACCCTTCAGTTCGCAGGCCGATGCTCTGTCCACTGAACCAAATCAGTGAGGGCGCATCTTATGTTCTTGTACAAAAGGTCCATTTATTTAATATCAGCCGTGTGTACTATCACAGAAATTCACAGGAGGGAGAGGTCACTCAGGTGTGCTGAGCAAGATGCACAGAAATAGAACCTTGAATACATAGAAGATCTTTAGAGAAGCAGAGAAACTACCTCAAAAATTTTAAGAAGGTAGGTGACGGATAGTTAAACAGCTTCTATCCATCCATCTTATTCATCCAAGACAGAACTAAGGAAAGTCTGGTGATACCCAGCGAGCGCTGGCTGGCCTCTTGTGATTTGCTTGATCCTTTATATAGCTTTCTACTTCAGAACAATTGCATTATTGTAGCTTAAATCTGCTCTGTGCCTGTTGTCACTTGTTTATTTCAGGGGGGATGTTTTCATGCACCATCCCCTAAGCATAGGAGTTGGTCCTTCACGTGTTCACTCAGTCACTGGACAGATATTTTTTGAGTGGCTGTTAGGTGCCTGGCACTATTAAAGATTGTGCGGAATACAGTAATGAATAGAAATAAGGTCTTTGCCTTTATGAAGTTTACAGTCCAGTGGTAGTGAAGCAGACCCATCAGGGCTCATAGTGGTTAAGAGGAAAAATAAAGTAGATTTTGGAACAGAGTGATAGGAATGATTGGTCCTGAAAGATCTCTCTGATAAGGTGACATTTGGGCAGAGGCCTGAATGGAAGGAGGGACATGGTGCTGGGGAGGGGCATCCTGATCACAGGAAATACGGTTTCTGCATTCGAGGACCAGAGGCGATGGCATGACTGGAATGCAATGAGCTGCGGGCAGGAGCAGCAGGGGCTGTGCAGAGCTTTGCAGGGTATGACGAAGACTTAGCATTTTCTCTGAGTACAGTGGGAAGGTTCTAGGGAATCCTGAGCCCAGGAGTGCCAAGAACTGACTCACATTTAAGAGAGCCCAGTGAAGAGGCGTTTGCAAGAGTCTAGTTCAGAGGTGAGGATGGCGGTGGCTTAGCCTTGGGTCATAGCAGCAGAGGTGTTGAAAAGTAGTTAGGTTCTGAACATGTTTCTAAGGTAAGAACCATCAGGTTTTATTAATTGGACACGGGGTGTTAAAGAAAATGAAGGATGCCTTGGTTGTGGCAAAATTGGCCAAAAGCACAAAACTGTGAGGCAGACCTGAGGAAGGAGCTTGGCTAGCAGATTGAGAGTTTGGATTTTGGACGTTCTAAGTGTGAATTGCCTGCTAGATGTCCACATGCTGATGCTGACTTGAAATTCAAGTCTGGAGTTCAAAGTCAGGTCTGGGCTAGAGATTGAATTGGGGGAAACATCCATATCTGGGTGGTCTTTAAGCAAAGGGTACATGTGATTGTTTGGAAGAGAGAGAAGAAGGAGAAGAGAGGATGCCCAAGGCCCTGAGCCATCCCCACATTGTGGGGGTCAGGGAGATATAGGGGGTTGGGCAAGCAAGACAAGACACAGGAATGAGGTGGGGTGAGAACCCAGGGAGAAGGATACCCGGGAAGACAGAATAGTGGATGCCAGGGAAGAAGGAGCCTGTAGGTCAAACAGGAGGACAGAGAATTACCCCATGAACCCACCAAATATGTCAGCCTTAACAAGAGAAGTTTGGGGGATTGATGGGGTGAGAGCCTGACCAGAGTGTGCTTAAGAGGCAGTGAGAGCCCTAGCCAGTTTGGCTCAGTGGATAGAGCGTTGGCCTGCAGACCCGGGTTTGATTCTGGTCATGGGCACACACCTGGGTTGCAGGTTTGGTCCCTAGTAGGGGGCGTGCAGTAGGCAGTCAATCAATGATTCTCTCTCATCATTAATGTTTTCTCTCTCTCCCTCTCCCTTCCTCTCTGAAATCAATTAAAAAAATATTTTAAAAAAATTTTTTAAAAGGAGGTAGTGAGAGGGGAACAGGTGACGACAGTGAGTTCAAAACTCAAGGAGTTTTGTTGTGAGGGGAACAGAGAAACAGGGCAGAGTAGCTGGAGGGGAAGGTAGGATTAAGTTTTGAGGTTTTTACTTTGTTTTTTTAAGAAGAAGGAAATTGCAGTGTCTATGTATGCTGGTGGGAATGCTTTAGCTAGAGCGACCAACCATCCTAGTTTACCTGGGATGCAGGACTTTGCAGTTTTAAACCTGGCTGAGTTGGTTACCCTAGATCTAGATGAAGGAGGAGAGTGTTTCTTTTTTTTTTTTTTAATCCTTACCTGAGGATGGATGGAGACACACACACACACACACACACACACACTAGTGGCCAGTGCACAAAATTTGTGCACGGGTCGGGGGTGTGTGCCCCTCAACCTGGACTGCACCCTCTTAAATCTGGGACCCCTCGGGGGATGTCTGACTGCATCCATAGGGATCAGGCCTAAACTGGTAGTTGGACATCCCTCTCGCAATCCAGGACCGCTGGCTCCTAACCGCTCACCTGCCTGCCTGCCTGATTGCCCCTAACCACTCTGCCTGCCGGCCTGCTCACCCTCAACTGCAACCCCTGCTGGCCTTTTTGCCCCCAACTGCCCCCCGTTTCCGGCCTTATCGCCCCCAACTGCCCTCCCTTGCTGGCCTGCTTGTCCCTAACCGCCTCTGCCTTGACCCTGCCACCATGGCTTTGTCTAGAAGGTCTCCCGGTCTAATTAGCACATTACCCTTTTATTAGTATAGATACTAGAGGCCTGGTGCATGAAATTTGTGCACTCGGGGAGGGTGTCCCTCACCCCGGCCTGCGCCCTCTCACAGTCTGGGAGCTCACGGGGGATGTCTGACTGCCACAGAGGCGGGAGAGGCTCCCACCACCACTGTTGCACTCATTAGCCGTGAGCCTGGCTTCTGGCTGAGCAGCACTTCCCCTGTGGGAGTGCACTGACCACCAGGGGGGAGCTGCTGCATTGAGCATCTGCCCCGTGGTGGTCAGTGCGTGTCATAGCAATTGGTCATTCTGCTGTTCGGTCAATTTGCATATTAGCCTTTTATTATATAGGATATATATTTTTTCCCATTGATTTTTCAGACAGGGTGGGAGGGAGGGAGAAAAGAGGAGAGGGGGAGAGAGAGAGAGAGAGAGAGAGAGACAGAGAGACATTGATGTGAGAGAGACGCATTGGTTGGTTTGCCTCCTGCTCTCCAGGTATTAAAACTGCAACTGAGGTACGTGCCCTTGACTGGGATTCAAACCCATGACCCTTCAGTCCATGGCTGAAGTTCTAACCACTGAGTCAAACTGGCCAGGGGGGGAGTGTTTCTTTAAAAAAAATAGATTAATTTCAGACAGGAGGAGAGGAGAGAGAGAGAAACATCAGTTCCACACTGGGAATCAAGCCCACAACCTAGGCATGTGCTCTGACGGAATTGAACCATGACTACCTGGTTCATAGGTCAACACTCAACCACTGAGCCACACTGGCAGGGCGAGAGTGTTTCTTTTATTTTTCTCCCTACACCCATTTCCTTTGTGGCTTTCCATCCCCAGTCTGTCAGAAGTCAAAACAAGCTTTTCTTCCCTCTCTCCGAGTCCCTACCCTCCTTGCTACCCACTCGTGGGTCTCTGAGCTGCTAGGAGCAAAGCAGCATTCAGTGAGCCTTGGGCAGGTCTCATGTTCCTGAGTCATCAGTGGGAAAGCCAGTCCCTGTGGCACCTACGTTGGATTATTGCATATTGGTATTTGAAGGTTACTGATTAGAGGATACATTGATCTCTGTATTCCAGCCAGCAATATCTAGAAGTTGATTCATTTTTATGCCCCCACAACCTGACCGCTTCTCTGCCAAGCTCTTCCTTCACATGGAGGTGTTGCTAGTTATTGAGCTACTAGTAAAAGGGTGAGGTAGGGTCTTGCTGAGAAGATGTCAGGAACAAAGTGTATTTGCTGTCTTTTTCCTATAGGAAGACTCGGAGGACAGTGAAATTGACATGGAAGATGATGAAGAAGACGACGACTTGGAAGACGAGAGCATTGCTCTCTCTCCAGCTAAATCTAGCCGAAGGGTCCGGAAACCTGAGCCCCTGGAAGAGAGTGACAATGACTTCTGACTTTCTTGCCAAGGGACCCATGCAGATTAAAACCCTCAGATTTGTAGGTAAATGGGAATTTAAAAGGTTAGAAAGGAAGTATATTTTTTTTACTAAGTCAGTTGGACTTATTGTTACTGAAGTATTACCTGTTTTTTGCTTTAGCCTCCTATGTGTTACTCCATGAAGCTTAAACAAAAACCAGAGCAAACTACAAAGATGATTTTTTTTTTGCCTTATCTCCTAAAAGTGGGAAATATGTGTGTGCTTAGTGATTCACATCCACAGGAAAAAAACTTGAGGAGAAATAAGTTTCTATGTAAGTTTGATTATTGTTGTTGTCACATATGTCCTCTAAGAGTCAGTGGGACAAACCTGAGGCTGGCATTGCACACAAGGACTCATTTTAGGAATTAGTGCTGGACTATTAGTCACTTATACAATTTAGAGGCTTTTAATTCTAGCTTTTATTTCATTTTATAGTCTTTTTTTCCTGCATGTTCACAATACCAAGCTTTAAATGCATTTTACTAAAATTTTCTGAATGAAAGTTAGCTAAGTCAGATGAAAATCAACTTTCTTTGAAAATCAGGCAACAGAAGATCCTCCAGATTATAAATTCTCCATTTTTTTCTCAGAAGGCCAGCATTCCCTCTTAGGAAAGTTGACTTAAAAAATAAACCAGAATTGAAATAGGTAGAGTAACACTAGAATTTCCCTATTGTGAAAAGACAAGTGAAAGATAGGTGGCATTTTTTGTTTTGTTTTTTGGGAAGCACAGAACAGTTTTTATTGTTTTTCAGTTATAAAGTCATAAGACTTCTGACGTTACTTCTCTTAATAAATGTTTTAAATACCATATTTTTATATTATTAAATAAATTTTACTTGAAAATGTAATTATTTTGTTTATTTGCACTGATAAAAAATACTCGAGAAAAGTTCATAGTAACGTTACTGTGGCACATGTAAACTTTAGGGGACTGTGACAGTTAGTGCTATCATCTTTGCTTTTTACCATCGTTTTCTACATTTTATGTATGAGATTACCCCCTTTTTTAAAACATTCAGCATTCGGTTAATTCATCAGTAATTTGAGATGTGCCATCTTTTTTAAATTAAATATATTTTTATTGATTTTCCCCTAAAGAGAAAGGGAAAGGGAGAGAGAGAGAAAAACATCAATGATGAGAGAGAATCATCGTTTGGCTGCCTCCATGCCTCCTATTGGGGATTGAGCCCACAACCCAGGCATGTGCTCCGACCAGGAATTGAACTGTGACCTCCTGGTTTTATAGGTCGATGCTCAACCACTGAGTTATGCCAGCTGGGTAAGAGGTGCCATTTAAAAAAATATATTTTATTGATTTTTTACAGAGAGGAAGGGAGAGGGATAGAGAGTCAGAAACATTGATGGGAGAGAAACATCAATCAGCTGCCTCCTGCAGACCTCCCACAGGGGATGTGCCTGCAACCAAGGTACATGCCGTTGACCTGAATTGAACCTGGGACCCTTCAGTCCGCAGGCCAACGCTCTATCCACTGAGCCAAACCGGTTAGGGCGAGAGGTGCCATTTTTGAAACAGTAAGCTAAATGGGAAATAGGTGTGTTGGAAGCCTTGCTATCCACCTCAGGTGCCATGATCTCTAAGGTGCAAAAAAGTCACTGTATCTTTTATTATTATTATTGATTTCAGAGAGGAAGGGAAGGGGGGGGGCGGAGAGAGAGAGAGAAACATCAATGATGAGAGAAACATTGATTGGCTGCCTCCTGCATTCCCCCTACAGGGGATTGAGTCTCCAACCCGGGCATGTGTCCTTGACCAGAATCAAACCTGAGACATTTCAGTCCACAGGCTGACGCTCTACCCATTGAACCAAACCAGCTAGGGAAAGTCACTGCATCTTCTTGGATGTTAAAGCTTTGGTTCACCTGAGTCTGACCTGACTTATATTTTGAAAAAAACTAAAAATGTGTTTCTATTTTCCGTATGTGGTGCTTTCTTCTAATGGGCATTAGCTTGGGAGTCCTACCCCAAGCTACTGATAAAATGTCCACAGATAAAGGTAATGACTGTAATGGGTGATTCATTCTTTCACCTGCTTCTTGGTCATCCTTCATCCCTTGGTTAATTGAATTTGTGCAGGCTCTCACTATGGTATGGCACTTCCTTCAGTAGCTTCTGTCAACAAAGGAGATGCAAGTAGTTGATCATGTTATTAATGTATTTCTGTCACTATAATGGATCCAGGAGTCAAATATGTGCAAGTGCCTTATGATCTGGTGTCATTTGGTTTTAGTTATGCAGCAGAGCAGACTCAGGCCCCACAGAAGCTTGAGTGATTAGGTCTGTGAAAAACTAGCACCTAGGTCATTGCTGACAGCGGTGGGTTTTTGTTTTTTACTGTATAATTAAAGGATCTCTTAAAATGCTTTAAAATATGTGTATTGACAGAAAATATAAAGGAATTTTTTAAGTTCTCAATTTTTATTGGTGGTAGCCATTAAGAACAAAGTATGAAGACTTCCTCTAGGAAATCAGAAGAACTGTTTCCCTTTTAGCTGGGACAGGAAGAAATAAATGCAAGATATCTTTCACTAGCATTTTAAATGGTAATATCAGTACCAAACATCTGAAAGGAAGATGTGTCTCTTTGGTTAGCAACATCCACACTAATAAAAGACAAATATGCAAATTGACTGTACCTGCACTACGTCTTAAGCCACGCCCACCAGCCAATCAGAGCGACTGTGTGCAAATTAACCCAACCAAGATGGCGGCCGGCAGCCACGGAGCTGGAGCAAGCAGGAGGCTTGGTTGCCCCAATGATGGAGGAAGCCAAGCTGCCACGGCAGCTCTCAGCTCCACTTAAAGCAACAAAGTTTCAATTATAGAAGGTAAATAAACCCCAGATACCTGCTTTCAGCCGGCCGTGGCCACGGAGCTGGAGTGAGCAGGCGGCTTGATTGCTCCTTCCTCTGCTGACTGTAGCCTCCACAAAAGGCAACAAAGTTTCAATTATAGAAGGTAAATAAATCCCAGAATAAAAAAGAAAAAAAAGGAGAGCCTGGGAGCTTACATTCACTGGGGGGCTTGGGCAGCCTGAAAACGGCCCTCAACCCCTCACCCAGACTGACCACCAGGGGGAACCCCCCACCTTAAAGGGGGTGTGGCCAGCCTGAAAAAACAGCCATCAGCACCTCACCCAGGCTGGCCAGGCACCCCAGCAGGGACCCCTACCCTGAAGGGGCTACGGCCAGCCTGCAAACAGCCATCAGTCCCTCACCCAGGCTAGTCAGGCACCCAGTGGGAACCCCCACCCTGAAGGGGGTCTGCAGCTTAGGCCTGCGCCCTGCTGGCAAGTGGACATCCTCCGCGGGCTGCTGGGCTGCCAGAGGGATGTCTGACTGCCATTTTAGGCCCAACCCCCAGGGAGCGGGCCTAAGCCAGCAGGTGGGCATCCCCTGAGGGGTCCCAGACTGTGAGAGGGCACAGGCCAGGCTGAGGGACCCCCCCAAGTGCACATGCACCGGGCCTCTAGTACTACATAAATATCACAGCTATTAGATTAGCCCAGGGGAGCTCTTGGGTGCTGGACTCCAGGACTGGTTGAATTGGAAGGGAACTAAAAGGTCTGCCTCCTACCCAGAACAGAAGTCCTTTCAATAAGGATGTGACTGGAGCAGGAAAACAAAGGGTTCAAGAAGGTGTGTCATTAGGGGAAAATGGAATAACCAGTGTGTCTGTGAGAGATAGTATTCAGATTTTACACTTCTCTTGGACAGTTTGGAAAAGAATTAAGCAATAGTGACAGAAAATTCATTAAATTTAAAAAATAATACAACTGTTAATTCTAGAAAGAACAATGACATAGGAAGAAAATGGCTTAGCAGTGATCCATACTAATAAAGTCATAAGATAAACACTAAATAATGATTCAACCAAATCATACTATAACTATATTGGAAGGAGGAAGAAGAAAAAGTGGGGGCATAATGTGATGTATGTACAAGTGCCATTTCCCATAATAGAAAGTCAATAGATACTCTCTAAAATGATTAAGCAATAAATAGTGGACTTTGGAAATTAGGAAATCAGGGGCTTCAGCCAGGAGAAGTGAGATAGCAGGAGAGGTTGGATTTTAAAGCCAACACAGTGAGTACTGATGACTGTTCAGAAAGCGATGATCATAGTGAAAAGAGAAGACAGAGCTGGGTGAGAAAAGCAAGGTCAAAGAACATTTTGGAGGACTGCACACAAGGAATTGTTTTAGGAATCAGTGTTGGACTATTAATCATTTGTACAATTTAGAGGCTTTTGATTCTGGATTTTATTTTGTTTTCTGTTTGTATGTATGTGAGGGAAACATGTTTTTTAGCTGAAAGAAACTAGCTTGTGAAATGGGAGGAGTTGAATCAGAGAGAGAGAAAAATTTGTGCAGCGAAGTCTACATTAGGAGCCATTCTGCTTAAATTCATACTTTATATTGAAAACATACCTACTAGAAAGCCAGTTGTGTAGAAGCTACTATTTGGGGTAAGAAGGCTAAGGTTGATTTCACAATTTTTTACACCTGGATTTCTATAGTGTCTATTTCTATAGTGTCAAACTGTTTTCTTGACTTGGGCATTAGGTAGAGTACCTATAATATTGAGGCATTTTCTCAGAAGATGGGCCAAAGTAACCCTAGAATGAAGGATGGCTGACTCTGGCTAAAAAAGCTTAAAAGCAAATTTTGAAAGGATCCAAGTGTTTCTAAGTAATTGTGCACCAGAATAAAGCTCAAGAATATTTTAAGAAATATAAAATCAGCACCTAGAAAGATAAAATCCCAATTTCTGGTGTTCAATAAAAAAAATTACCAGGCATGAAGACACTGCGGCTCCAAAGGCAGCCAGATAGCCTCGGAAGAGCACCCTGGGGAGAAACAAGCTTGACCGCTATGTCGTCATCAAGTTCTTACTATGGAGCCAATCATGAAGAAGATTGAAGACGACAATACACTGTGTTCACTGTGGACATCAATGTCAGCAAGTACCAGATCAAACAGGCTGTGAAGAAGCTCTATGACATTGATGTTGCCAAGGTCAACACCTGATTGGGCTTGATGGAGGGAAGAAGGCATATGTTTGACTGGCTCCTGACTTTGGGTGTTGCCAACAAAATTGAGATCACCTAAACTGAGTCCAGCTCCCTAATCCTATATAATAAAAGTCTAATATGCAAAGCTGCCCCCAGCCTACAGGCCCCAGGCCAGCCAAGGCAGGTGCCAGCAGGGGCCCCTGATCGCCCCACCAGTTGCCCCACAGATTGGCTCTGATTGCCAGCCAGGCCTAGGGACTCTACCCATGCATGAATTTCATGCATCAGGCCTCTAGTTCTAAATATAAATTTTTTTTCACTGTAAAAAAATTATCAGGCATAATGAGAAAAATCAAGAAATAACCCATAAATGATAGCTGATAGAATTAGTAGAAAAGAACATTCTTAACAGTTATAACTATATTCCGTATATTCAGGTGGTAGAGGAAAGCATGTATATTAAGGACAGACATGGAAGATATAAAGTAAGCCTCAAACAGAACTTCCAGAGAGTAACAAAATGAGATGAAACCAAACAAACTGAGATTAAGAGCAGTCAGATACTGCAGAAGAAAACATTACTGATCCTGAAGACATAGCAATAGGAACTGTCCAGAATGAAAAACAGGACATCCCACTGTGCTGGTATCAATTTATTGCCTCAACTCCAAATTCACCTTTTGGCCTGCTCTGTTGTAACCGTGCTATTTTTTGTAATATTTCTCCTTTATCAGCCAGCAAGATGTTAAGTGTTGCCAGTAGAGGGTGCTTGAGAGACTTTGGAGAAAGTTGGGGCTTTCCTTCCAATTATAGTGTGGCTTGCTCTTGAAGTCCATGAAGAGCACGCTTTTTCTCCACTGCTTTGGCCCCTGAAGTTTCTCCAGTGCTAGGTTCCTGCATAGCACAGTTTGCTTCAACATTAGCTACTGCAACTCTTGTTCTGATGAGTTCGCAATTCAGCCAGAAACAGTGCAAACCAAAAGACAGTAAGTATATAACATCTTAAAAGTACTGAAAGAAAAAACTGTCAATACCCAGCAAAAATAGCTTTTTAAAGAGTACTCCAATAAATACTACACATGACCCATGTTCAAATGTGCCCAGTTTCCAAATAATGTTCTTTAGGGTTGGTTTTTCCCCCCTCCAGTCTAGGATCCAGTCAAAGATCTTAAGTTGTTATGTCTCTTGAATCTCCTTCAATTTAAAACAGTCCCAAGTCTTTTTTATTTTTCATGACATTGACTTTTTTTAAAAGGTCAGGCTATTTTTTTCCTTTTTTTGCAGAATGCTCCTCAATTCTCATTTTGTCGGATTATTCCTTCATGATTAGATTCAGGTAAACCTTTTTGGCAAAAATACTACATCAGCAATATGTCCTTCTCAGTGCATCACATCAGGGCCCCTGATGTCCATTTGTCCCATTATTGGTGACATTAACTTTAATCGCTTTGTTAAGGCAACATTTGTAAAATTTCTGTAAGATACCTTTTAGGTAACTCTTTGTGGGTGATGTTTTGAGACTATGTGAATATCTTCCTCAATTGGCTTTCAGTATCCATTGATTCTTGCCTGAATGCTCATTTTTAAAGAAGCATTAGGAATAATAGTGCTTCCTGTCCAAATTTTAAAATGATAATTACTTTATAATCTTTGTAAGCATTTCCCTTGGTTATTTAATTGATGAGAGCTATGGTGTCCATTTGGGATCTTTTCCTTTCATCACAGACAGACATCTGAGGGAATCTATGCCACATGGAAACTCAGCTTGCCTTGCCTTCAGAGGGAAGGTAGTCAGAGTAATAATAATGGGAAGCCCAATAATAATAACATTATTATTAAGAATAACATTATTGAACGTGCTATAGCTAACTAGTGTGCCAGACTCCAAATAACATATGTCAGACATAATCCATGCCTGTGAGAGATTTTGTGATGGATTTAAAAAATGGCAAAAACTAAGGATCATACCCCTAAAACTTTCTTCTTGAGAAAAGAAAGATCCTCTCTGTCAACAATGCCAAATTGGTACTCAGTTCACTGGAATATGGTAACTCATTTCCACTCCCTTTTAACCAGATGAGTGGGAAAAGGTAGTAATAATTTTTTAAAAGTTGGGGGCACATGAAGACCTCAGGGTTTGAATAAACTCAGGCCAGCTTCTTACTTCCTGAGCTTTAAGGTGTAAGTCCTGGGTCCCTCAGTGGAAGACCCTTTCCTCTGTCCCAGACCAGAGTGTCCATCTCACCCCTGCCTAGACTGGCCCTGGACCAGAAGAGGTGCTCGCGACCTCCTTTGGCAGCACCTTTCCTGCCTCTGCAGTTTACCAGCTCTGGTGCAGGTCAGCCTCATTCCCAGATAACAGGAAATCACCCGGAAAATGGTCCTTTTGTTTAAAGGCTTCCAGCTGCATCTCTGCCCATCCTCCTGCCCGGTCCGCCAGGAACTTGCTTTGCTCACATTTCAACAGTGCATGAGGGAGCATTTGTCTTAATAGCTTCCGAGATCATTCTGGCACCTGATTCCCCAATGTGATTTCCCTGGAGACTAGAGAAAGATTAGGACAAATTGAGAAAATGGCTGAAGGGCTAGAGCAGTGGTTCTTAACCTTCCTAATGCTGCGACCCTTTAATACAGTTCCTCATGTGGTGGTGACCCCCAATTTCATTGTTACAAATTGAACATAATGAAAGCATAGTCATTAATCACAAAAACAGTATGTAATTATATATGTGTTTTCCGATGGTCTTAGGCAACCCATGTGAAAGGGTCAACCCACAGGTTGAGAACCGCTGGGCTAGAGGCTACAGTTTCTCTTTGGTAAAGAGCAGAAGGTCAGTACATAAGATGCAGAGCTCTGGGTGAAACCCTTGTGCTTCTAGGATCTCTCCCATGGACAAGGCTCTGAATGGCTTTCTTTTAAATTGAGTTTTTCCTCAGAGCTGCTGAGAGGCCTGGGAGTCCGCTGGCTCTGAAAATCAGGCAGAAGGTAGAGCCTGACCTGGGAACAGTTCTAAGGGTGAGAATGGCAGGAAAGGGCAGAGACTGCCGAACCCCACTCACTTGATATGCTGGATCCCATGGTTTCCAGACAGTGCGGTGGCAATGCATATCATCCCATCCATCCCCAAGGAATTCTCTTGAAGACTAGGCAGAGAAAAGATGGAGACATCAGAGTGAGCCGGTCAGGGCAGAACACACCTCTGAAAGCAGCACTGCATTATCCTGTGGGATAATTCTGGCACTGGTTTGTCCACAGGTGCCATAGCAACAGCAGGGTGGGCATTTAATCCTGAGACGAGTTTATGAGGAGCCAGGTTGTACCGTCTTAGTGCCATGGAGATTATAAAACCAAAAATGCTGATGTTAAGTGATTTACCTCTGACCTATGCTAGACAAAATGACCAAACTCGTCCATAATATAGACTATAGTAACCAGAACAGTCAGAAGGAAGCAGCTACAGAGGAAATCAAGAGCATCTTATCCCCTGGGGAGGTTCCAGCATAGAAATCCTCTGCTCTGGGGTGCAGATAGGGCTCGGCAACCACTCACTTGAGTCTTCGGAGGCTTGAGTTGACCTTCAGAGCATTTGCCAGGGCTTTGGCTCCAGCCACCCCAATGGCGTTTCCCCTTAAACTGTAAAAAAAAAAAGACAGGCAATGGCCCTGGCCAGTGTTCTCAATAGTTAGAGCATTGGCCTGTGCACTGAAGGGTTGTAGGTTTGATTCCCCATCAAGGGCACATACATGGGTTGCAGGTTCATCCCGGCCCCAGTTGGAGCACATGTGGGAGGCATCCAATCGATGTCTCTTTCACATCAATGTTTCTCCCCCTCTCTCACCTCTCTCCCTTTTCCCACTCCCACTTTCTAAAAATCAATGGGGAGGGGAGGGAGGACATATCCTTGGGTGAGGGTTTAAAAAGAAAGAAAGAAAAGACAGGCAATGTAAGGCACCGTGATGGCTGAGAGGTGAAAATGCTATTTCTTCAGATGAGTATGGGCTACTGGTGAGAGGCAGTGTGGACTCAGCAACCATGGGGAGTTAGGTTGCTCCTTCCTTACTCTCAAGCCAAAATGGAGTTTGGCTTTGGGGAGCAAGCAGGACACACAGGAGGGGTGAGCCAGCCCAACTTGGGGGTGTGTTGGTGCCTTCATTCTCCTTTTACATTCCCAAGGAAGAGCTGGGCTGACAGGAGAGGCAGCACTCCATCCAGCAGGCCCTGTCTGCTCAGCATCCCAGAACCCCGGGAGCAGGGGTGACCTGGACATGCCTGAAAGCCCCACAGAGCTTGAGGCCGCAAACTCCTGGATCTCAAAGACCAAGATGAGTGGACACAGACCACCCCAGGGATCCCTAAACAAGATCTTGGAACATGTTCAGCCCGGGCAAGACCAAGAAAAGCAGGTACTCAAGAAAAGGAGGCCCAACAATAGTGACTCTCTGGGAGAAGGGGTGAAGTAGGAATGGGGAAGCTGGGCATGCTTGATATTTAATTGCTTTGTGAATTTCTTACAAATTGATATTTATAAGACCTCCCTTTTCACACTCCCTCCCACTTTCTAAAAATCAATGGGGAGGAGAGGGGGAGATATCCTTGGGTGAGGTCACTGTACTGTCTGGAAACCACGGGACCCAGCATATCAAGTGAGTGGGTTGATTCAAATGAATAGATATGGAGGAGAAAAAAAGTATCAACAATTTAGTTGTTGTGTTGCACAACTGTTGAATCAACAGTTTGGTTTATTTGGGCAAGAGACTTTAGCCGGAGGCTGGAATACTTACTCGAGAATCTCCAAGGTTCTGTTCACAGCCAGGGCCTCCCCCAGTGCCTGAGCCCCCGGCGCACCAATGGAGGCCACCTGGAGACTAAGAGGAGATGCTGTCAACGTAGTCAGGCCAGACAGGCTGGGCTCTCCAGCCCTCATACCTCCCCGGGGCCCAGCTTCCATTCACAGGCACCCTCATTTTCACCACCCTTGACTTTGGGTTGAAAATGACAAAATAGCACTAAAAATTGGCTGTGGTCTGTCCAAAGGATACTGCATATCCTCCCTGCACTGTTTGTGCTTGGGACATATCTAGGTACTACGGATACAGGAAATAGAGGTAGTCTCCTGGAGAGTTTGCAGGAGAACACTGCCTGTACCCCTAAATCTTGTTACAACTGCAGGAGCAAGAATGCGCTAGGCATCCCTTCTCCTGCCTGGTTGCTGATATTAGGAAAATTAAACACAGCTTCCTAGACTGGGAAACGAAAATGGTTTTCCATATGAAAGGATGGTGAAGGGCTGGCTTCCTGGACTGCTGTGCGCATCAGGACTTACTAGAGAGCAGTGAGGGCTGTGTTTGCCTTCAGCGCACTGGCCACTGCACAGGCGCCTTCGTCCCCGATGGCGTTCTCCTGTAAACTGAACACAGAGGGTGAGCCGGGGCCAGCTCTCTAGCATGACGTGCTGAGCTTGGACCTTCTACCTAATTCAGACCACACACAGTGTAGACTATACTCTCAGGGTCACCCCATGGCCTCCTAATTAACATGCAGAGGGACCTGGGGTCTGGACCATCAGAAGCAAACAAGAAAAGGGACACATGGAAGCATTGCCAACAAATGGGTGAGATAAAGTGTGCTTTTCGAAGCCAATCAGAACACTGCAGGCCCTCTGCCCCCAGGCCATTCTTGCTCGCTGCAGTAATAATTTAACAGACGCTTGCGTGTATAGTGTGCACTAGCAAGGCCAATTCCGCCTTTTTGGAACTCAGGTGAGGAGACAGGAGCAGTCACTATAGGCTAAGAGCAGGCTGCAGTGTGGTCCCAGAGGCTGCCAAGAGAAATAGGTCTAAACCAGTGGTTCTCAACCTTCTGGCCCTTTAAATACAGTTCCACATGTTGTGACCCAACCATAAAATTATTTTCGTTGCTACTTCATAACTGTAATGTTGCCACTGTTATGAATCATAATGTAAATATCTGATATGCAGGATGGTCTTAGGCGACCCCTGTGAAAGGGTTGTTTGACCACCAAAGGGGTCGCGACCCACAGGTTGAGAACCACTGGTCTAAACCCAAACCCAAAGGATAAGAGATGGGGAGGGGGCCTAGCATATCTAAAGAACCCAACGACATTGAGTCAAGTCTCTTGAGAGTGAGACGAGGCTGAGTAAACAGTAAGGAAGCGGATGTTTGGGGGCCCTAGAAGCCATGCTAAAGGTTGGACTTCACTCAGCAGGCCCGGGCAGCCATTGAAACATCTCACCAGGACAGGGACAGATTTGCATTTTGAAAAGATCCTGGCTAGCCGTGGATGGACTGGGTGTGGAGGCTGCTGCAGTGATGCAGGTGAGTGATGCTGGTGCCTGGACAGTGGCCATGGGGGTGGGACACTGGGAAGAGAATCAACAGGACTTGGAAATGAATCAGTAGGACTTGGAAAAGGGCAAGGGTGATGTTTCTACTTTTCACAGTTGGTTGGCTGGTTCTAGTCATAAGATGGGGAACCAAGAAGCAGGCTTGTGGTGGTGGGGGGATCATTCCGGCAATCTAAAGTACCACTGAGCCACCCAAAGGGAGGTGCGGAATGGGCAGTAGATACACGGGTCTGGAGCTCCGGAGAGAGGTTTGTGATATAGCTGTGGGGTCATAAGGACTTGAAAGCCTGGGAGAGGAGGAGAGCTTCCAGGAGAGAGAGCACCTTAAAGGGAAGGTGGACTGGGATAGAACCCTGAGGAACACAAGTATTTCAGAGTCAAACAGAACTAGCCAGAGATGGGATATCCTGGAAGCTGAGAGAGAAGTAGTCAGCATCAAAAGGAGATGAAACTCAAAAGGTTACCATTTGACCCAGCAATTCCATTCCCAGGTGTATACACAAGAGGACTGAAAGCATACACAGAAACATGTACATGGATGTTCACAGCAGCATTATTCATAACCAAAACGTGGAAACAACCCAAATGTCCAGCAACAGATGAAAGTCTTATCCATACAGTGGAATACTATTCAGCCATGAAAAGGAATGAAGTGCTGACACATGCCACAATGTGGATGAACCTTGAAAACATATTAAATGAAAGTTGCCAGTCATGAAAGACCACATATTGTATCATTTCACTTATAGAAATGTCACGAATAGGTAAATCCATAGCGAGATAGGGCAGAAGGGGAAGTGACCACTGATGGATCTGGGTTTTCTTAGAGGGTGATAGAAATGTTCTAAATTTAGTTGTTGTGTTGCACAACTGTGAATAGACTAGAAACCAGAGAATTATATACCTCAATAAAGCTATTATATGTTTTTTAAAGCAGATGAGGATGGAAACATGCCTGCTAGCCTTAGGACAGAGGAGGCTGTGTGCTGAGTGCGTGAGCCCTGTGCTTGGTGGGCAATGAGGTTTCAGATGCCCCTGCCCCCGTGGAATCCCCACTTACTCGAGGCTGATCAGGCTCTTGTTGAACTGTAGTGCTTGTCCCAGGGCCTTGGCGGCGCCGGCCTGGATGAAGTTCCACTGCAGGCTAGGCAGACACGGACCACATGACTACGTGGCCCAAGGCAGAGTCCAGGAGGTCCTGGGCTCCAGAAAGAGCAGGCTTCTCCCAGGAGAATCTGACGCCAGGGGATGGAGTCCCTGCGGGGTGTGCTCTAGAGGGACCACTGATGGGCAGAGCTCCCACAACCCTCCTCAGCCTTAGTCCCAAGGAGTCAACATTTACTCTCTGGTTAGGGGTGGGTACAGGGACAGGCTCAAATAAAGACTCCAGATGGTCCCTGCTGTGGTTACCCACCTCCAACCCCATTGGTCTCTCCGTGGAGCAATCTCAGGAAGTAGAGCAGGGGGCAGGGCTGGTGGCCCTGCAAGTGACCACCTGCAGCCTGCTGGAGGCCCCAGAGACCATGTGGGAGATCCCCAGAGCTGGAATTGGTCTCCTGCATCAACTGGTTTGGGGGAGCCCTGCAGCTCTGGGCAGAGGACAGGGTAGGTAGGGGCCCCGAGGACTCACTGAAGGGACATGAGGGTGTGATTTTCTCTCACTGCCATTGCGATGGCCTGGGCACCCTGGTCATGGAGGAGGTTGGCTGTCAGGCTGGGAGGAGAGGAACAGGGGCAAGTGAGCAGAAGCCGACCATGATGTCCCCTGTCCTTGCTCCCCAGGGAATCCAGACCACCCTCCCCCAACCCAAGGTCTACATCGTGCCCACTAGGATAGCCTAGCTCACGCCTATGGAGCACTTGCATGTGCCAGGCACGTGCCCTGGACTGTTGTAACAAATCTGACACCCCCAGGGGGAGTGGGCCCAAGCTCAGCTCAGTGAGATTCCATGACAGATCACGCACCAGGAGGTGGCAGAGGACTCACTCCTGATTCCTATACTGTGCTGCCCCCACGACGTGGCCCCTTCCACATGCTCATCCATAGCAAAGGGCTGAGGGCCAGAGAGTTGCCACTACTTCATCCTCATGTAATTTATGACAGGACCATGGGGGACTTGTGTCTGAGTCGCCACCAGGGGTCAGGTGTCCTGGCTACCTCCTCCCAGCCAGGTCCTTCTTCAGCCTTTTATAATGGCAAGAGTGACCGGGGCCTGGCCCATCAGTCTCTGGGCTTTGCATAGGTGGGGCCCTGGCATAAAGGAGCCTGAGGAAGCACAGCCCTACCCCCCCCCCGCCCCCTCACGTACTCCAGGTTCTTCAGGGTGCTGTTGGTGCAGAGAGCTCGAGCCAGATCCTGGGCTCCCTCTGGGCTGATGGAGTTTTCTCGAAGGCTGAAGAAAGAGAAAACCCTGAGCTGCTGACCAGGCAGATGAGGCCTCTGGGGGAGACAAGCCCAGGTGTTCAGGCTTTTAGAACCAGAGAAACCTCATGTGGGACCCGGACTTCCTGAGCGAGCATGTGGTGTGTGCCTCCAGCGAGCCCAGGTTCTGGTGGCTAGGCAGCCAAGTGTCTCCCCTTTAGGACCTACCAGTAGGACAGTCTAGGAGGAAGAGGATAAGACAGTAGGACCTCAGAGCTGTGAGGGGCAGGCATGGGTGCTTGGGTGCCTAAAGGATGTGTATATGGGCAGGGAGCAACAGAGCTGGCCAGCTGGGGGCCACCGCTGCCCCTGCCCTCCCAAGAGCAAGGTAGAGTGCAGGATGCCAGCCCCAGAACCAAACTGCCCAACCAGAGGTCGTCACAGGGGTAATGTGGGCTTCCCAACTCCGGCCTTTCCTTCCAAGTCCCTTTGGACCCCCTGACCAAAGGGATACCTGGTTGGAGAGGGAGGCTGGGACTTACTTGAGGCTGAGGAGGGCTCGGTTGGCGCAGAGGGCACCCATCAGCGCTGCCACTCCGGTGTCACTGATGGAATTGCTCTGCAGGCTGAAGACAGAAGAGAGGGCACATTTGGCGTGGCTGTCTCGGGACTCGGAGGGAGCCATCAGTCCAGCTGAAACACTAAGCTCGCCAGGGAGTTAGGGGACACCTGAGGCAGGTGCCACACATCATCCCTCTTTCCTCTCTCATCCCTCACAGTCCAACCCCAGCTAGGTCAGGGCAGGTGGGAATAGCACAACCAGCCCCAGAGTTTGACTCTGCTTTGGTTTGGTGGCTCCAAATGGCCTCAGAGATGGGGCATGCACTGTGTCTGCAGCCCCCAGGGCACAGTTGAGTCTCCCCAGTGTGGGAGCATTGCCAAGTTCCCCAACCCCCACCAAGGCCAGTGCTGCTGACCCTTTCTTTAGCTACTAAACTAAAGGGCTAACTTTAAAAGGCTTTCAGTGCTTGTTGTCACCCTGAAAACACCAACCCGTACTGTCCAGGGAAATGGAGCTGGTGTGGTAGGGTGAAACAGGTGGGGTAGGCCTGGAGGGAGAGACACTGAGATCATAGCATGCCCAGGGTTGGGGGTTGGTTGGGTTCTGGCAGGGAAGTGGCCCTCCTCCAGGACCCACCCACCTACTGGATAGGAAACCTGAGGGGGACAAGGGGGGAAGGGAGTTCCCCTCTGCCCACAGCCACCCCTGGAGGGTGGTCAGGCAGACTCACTCCAGAGTCTCCAGGCCCTGGTTCACCTTCAGGGCCTCAGCCAGGGCCTTGGCACCTCCATCGCCAATGCTGTTACTGGAGAACCTGTAAGAGACGGGACACTGGTGAGCCGGCCTCCTGGAGCAGCTGGGCAGGGTGGGGCCCAGAGATCAGGGTCTAGGAGGGGCTGCTTCTGTTGTCTCAAGGTGCCAGTTCAGTCTCTCCTGCTTGAGGCTGGTTGGCCAGTGGCCTCTGGAAGTGACCTCCTGCTACTTGTAAGAGATGAAGGTAACAAAGTCCTTGGCTCCCTGGCAGGGGAGTAGGGGCCAGGAGGCAAGACCAACTCTTTAATGAGAGGTATTTGTGATATGTTATGTGAAGGTGGCTAGGAAATGTCATTTTCTTTTGCTGGCTGAGAAGGCAGTACATGTGAGCCTGAGACAGTTGTGGCTCACTCAGTCTGTGACTCTGGATCTCCATTCTCCTGGTCCAGTGCTTTGGGGTCCAAAGCCAGTTGTTCTGCACCTACACATTTATTCATCCATCCACTCACACACTTACCCATTCATCCATCCACCCATCCATCCACTCAACTACCAGTCTGACACCCATCCATCCATCCATCCATCCATCCATCCATCCATCCATCCATCCATCCCCATGCTCACAAATATTTACGATAAGCTGGGCATTGTGTTAGACCCTGAGGATACCAATTGGCCTTTCTGCATTTCTCACATGAGCTCCTTCAGACTCCTGTTCTGCTTCAGGGCATCTGCCATGTGCTGGGCTCCCATGGGCCCGATGGTATTCTTCTGCAGGCTGTGAGAGAGGAGAGGGGTCCTTTAGCAAAGCTGGTCCCAGCTATTCCCAGGCCAAGAATACTCTGACTCAAGGTGAGAGGTCAGAGACAATGGAGTGCTGAGTGCCAGTCATCTCTTTGAAATGTACACATCAAGGAAGATAGCACAGACTCCAAGTTGTAAGAGCCTTCTTGTCATGAAGATAGAAAGTTTTAACTTTCCTTTGGCTAAAGGCAGTGAACAAACACAGATGGCTATCCCAACTACCAGGCTAATTTAGGATAAACTATGTGTGACAAACACTGCTGTCCAGTTCTCTTACTTGAGGACAAGTTGTTTATCTTGGAAACATGTATGTAATGGGTTGTGTCTGTTGGCTATGGAAAAGGGTGAGATTTATTTCTGTCTTTGCAATCTCATCAGCAGGTTGCCTCTGATGTACATTACAGTCCAGTTGAGTGTTAATTCAAATAATAAAGCTGTTTTGTTCTGCCTCACATTTGTGGAGAGGGTTTTCTGGATTGGCAGGAGGTTTTATTTTTAATTTTTTGCCCAACACCTGTTCTCTGGAAAAGCAATGGACGTCAAGTTTTCCAGGGGCCATCCAGACAGGTCAGAAGGCCTCAGGGCCTTGCCCATCCATCCCTCCTTGCAAAACACAGGCAGAGAGGTCCTTGGAGGAGAAGATGAGAGAGCACAAAGGAGACTTTCTGATGGCCAGCATGTCCACTCACTGCATCACGGAGAGCGTCCGGTTGGCTGCCAAAGCCTCAGCCATGAACTTGGCACCATCGTCCCTGATCCTGTTACTCTGGAGGCTGTGGAGGCAAGGAAGAGGCGCGTCACCAATGGAGCACACAAGGGCATCCAACGGTGGCCTGAGTCCCACCACAGTGTCACCAATGCTCAAGGGAGGGCAGCAGCTAAGCTCAGTGACGGGGCTTTAACCACTCTATGCCCTCAGTGCACACCACACAGGAACTGGGCAACAATTGGCCTCTCCCTCTGCTGCTCTGGACTTGAGTTTCCCTCTGGGTCTCTAAGCACTAGCCTGCTGACTGGGGACAAGTTGCCCATGGTGTTCGGATAACAACAGCTAGGTCATCGGTAATCCCAATTATGCCTAAAAGTCATAGGACCCCAGGGTTGGCG